CCAACTCTATATATATATATATATATATATATATATATATATATATATATATATCATATATTTGTACATATATATGAAAAATATATACTTTGGTAAAACATATATTTATTAAGTATTTAATGCATACCGACTGCTTTGCTCATAACAAGGTTCCTAAAAGTACAAGGTACCAAATATACCAGAATCTTGTATTCATAATAAAAAATGTATTCAGGCTCCTGGTTACACAGGCAAAGTATAAACATATGTGGAAAAATTCCAAAAGAAAGCTTGAGATATGTTGAGACACGGCATTCAAGAGGAATAAAGGGCAGAACTGGTGAGAATGATATAATAGAGATGAGATAAGAAGGGAAGAACTATGACAGAGGAACCACCAATACTTGAACTCATAGTTTAGAAGGCATATATTACATATTGTCAGGGCAGCAAGGGAAATCCAAAGGTGTCCTGCTAGGAAGAATGAACTTGCATTTGATATTGAGAGGGAGTAAAGGGTGAGACATCTATGTTGGGAAACAGCATCTAACAGCAGAGGAGGAACAAAATCTGACTGATGAATGTCTGACTTGATGCTTTGGTTGCAGACTGAAGGCAGGGACAGCACAGAGATCACATTTATAAATATGTCACTTTAATGTTTAATTTTTAAATAAGATGGATTGACAAACACCACAGAGACTTTCTATTATTGCATAATTGTTTTTTATTTAACGAAGTTTCATTCAAAAAAGATGTTTATTTAAGTTTTGCACAAATCAAGCAGAGAGATCACATTTATAAATATGTCACTTTAATGTTTAATTTTTAAATAAGATAAATGCGATCACGGAGATATCTACAAATATTATTTCAAGTGTTCACTTAATCAATTGTTGTCCCTTCTTTGAGTGTATACACAATTTCATTTAGTGGTATATACTTATATAGGAATACCACTGAATCAACGTTTATGTATTTTGACCACCGATAGCCACGTATGAGTTGATGATCTGACATTTTTTGCATATATATACACACTTGTATTTTTTTATTCACTTTAGATTAATGAGCGCTGTGTATTTATTTATACTTATTGATTAGACCTCAAGGATCTATATCGCAGCAGCTCTAATTTTAAACACTTCACTTATTTGATTGACATCGTTTTAGATTAGGTTGGGGATTAGCGCTGCCCATCTAGCCAAAAATATGCTTAAATGTTACCATCTTTATTGTTCTGTCCAGATCAGACACCCTGTTGCCCACTTGAGTTGTGTCAGACTGTAGAGTACTTATTTGTTTTTTGTTTTTTGTACATGGCCTCATGTCTTGAGACATAACTTTCCCAATCAGACCTCATAGGTAACAATTTAATATAGGCCTGCATGTCCCACTCCTAATCTCCCCACAAGGATGCTGGGAAGGAACCCTGTGAGCAGATAGTGTGGAGAGCGGCCACTGTAGATGAAGTGGCAGTACACGCAGCAGGAGAGTAAGGCTGGTGTGGCTAAAAAAACAAGCCGTCCTGACTCGTATTCACCATCGAAGGGGGGTAGGGGTAGAGGTTGAGGGTTGCTCCATTAGCCTCATTGGTCAGTTTGTGGGTGCCTTTGGTCTTGGGAACCAATGGGTGAAGGTACAGGGAACTGAGCACTCCCTGGAACGGGACATTAGATGAACAAATATTTTTACAGGAACTATAAAACCAATGTAACTATACAAATATGCCTCTTATAAAAAAATAGATCTCAGAAGCACGAATATGCTCAGAAAGTATGTTTTTGAAAGACCGCTGTTGAAATAAATTGGGTAATGGTGAAGCAACCTTTTAAAGTAAATCAGGCCTGGTCATAGTTATGTAATAATTACTATTTCTAGAAGTTTGCTTGGTCTGGTGTGTTTTCTCTTGGGATTCCAGTTTGTGCCCTACCACTGTGCCATCATCATGTTACTTGACATCATGACATGACATGTTTCTTGACTGGCCTGCTCCTGGAGGGTCCACAAACAAATAGAGCCCTCCATGCTGGACACTTTTCACAGCATGAGTTCTCCTGGAACTAGCAGTTATAAATTATAGACTATACCTGCAGCACCACCCTAGCACTGTAAAACAAGCCTGGATCAGTTGTATCACTGCTGCTTACAAAAAGTATCCTGGATAGTTATACTCTTTTATCAGCTTGGTTCTAGAATTGCATATATTACTAGCAAAAAGATGACCCACCAAGGTTTTTTTTAGGCAAGTTCATTTTCGCAAGTAAGCATATTTTAAACTAATAAAACAATGGAGATTCTTTAAAGTTGAAATCACACAATTACACTAGAAACTGATCTAATCATTTACTGCCTCCACAGTACCTCAGAGGCTCCCAATTGAAGTGCCTATAAAAGTACTGACTTCCTGAAGCCTAGAGCCTATGCCTACTCAGTGGCCTACCTAGCATATCTGACACATGTGGCAGATCATTTTTTAACACCCTCCCCCTATACATCTAAATTATTTTCAGCAATAATCATGAAACTGAACTTAATTCATGCTGGGGGTGGAAGTGGAATTGGCTGGTGGAGGGTGGACATCAGCAGCTCTAAGTATGGCTGTAATGTTTTGTGAACAAACAAGCTGCCCAAAAAGAAAGAGGTCAAATACACTATTTTCTACTTGGTTACCAACATTTGAAAATAGGAGGGCTATCCTGAAGTGCTTGTGAAGAAAGATGTGGTGCACTAAGCCCTTCTGTTAGTATATTTCAGTTACTCTTTATTCACTGCAATACTACCCCCTCCTCTTGTAGTAGAGAGGATTTCACTATCGGTGCCAAGATCCTATACTGTGAGTATACTTAGAAAGCCTGGAATGTGTCAGTATATGCAGCCAATCAAAAGAGTCTGGTTTTAGTATGTGTTAAGTTCAAAACTTTTCAGGCGTCGGCATGGGAGCTTGTTAATGCCAATACAGTATTATTGACTCTTAGGGGTTAATTTACTAAAGGCAATTAGGCTGTTTGCAAGGGAATTTGAACATGGCAGGGGAGGTTTCCCCTTAGTTTACTGAATGATGTGAAGCTCTGCTGACTTCCATCACCCAATCATGTGGAAGCAAAAGTACTGTTTTTTTCATTTCTCTTGTATATTATTGGGAATTCTTTGCAGTTACAGCTATCTGGTTTCCATAGCACAGCTTTTCAATCAGAAATGCACCAGAACATCAGAGGAGTCAGAAAGGTCTTACTCACCTACACTTGTTTTGCTTTGCAAGGTTGTGCATGTAACCCTTTAATGTTATGAGCACACAAGCACATAGCTTTGAGGAAATACCTTGTAGATCACTAAATACTAGATACCACTGAAATGTTTCCTCCTTAGCAAAAGGCAAAGTGTTTTTGTATTGAGAGAAGCATACGCACTAGCTACAGAATGATGGCTTATCCAATGTGAGATAGTGATAACTCTGTATATTCAGTATGTAAAATGTTAGTAATAACTTGCACAATAACCAACAATTATAATATATGGCAATATGTTTTTTTTTTCCAAAATATTTATTTATTAGATTTTCAAATTTCACATATATACATACATATAACAAACATAATTCATTCCCTCACACTTAACATAACACATATATGAAAAAACATCTCAATTATTTTGTATAATTCCCTCTACATTCATACTTCCATAAAACAAATAAGTAACACGTACCACTAAAACCCCAACACCTTTCTTCCTCCCTCCCCCCCCCAAAAAACATACATTGCCACACATCCACAGGGGTATTGTAGGTATTATTAATCGTTTGGTATAAAAGGACAAAAAGGACAAAAGAAAGAAAGGGATATCAAATCAGAACAAATATCTAATCAGAGTAGTCCAACGTTTTTTCCTTATCCAAGATTTGAGCCTATAGGTATCTAAGAATCGCTTGTGAACTCATGTAGTCCCTCCATGGGCTCCACCTCTCCCCAAATATCGTGTGTCTATTATATAAGCGGGCTATAAGCTCTTCAGATCGCATCACATTATTTAGTTCTTCCACCCATTCCGAAATCTGGGGAGAGCTGGTTGACTTCCAATGTCTGGGTATTACAGCCCTTGCAGCTGCCAGGATCGGGCCTAGTAGGCCCTTTTTCATTACAGCGGGCGAGCCATGGTGTAGGGACAGCAGAGCCACCTCTGGTGTCTCCAAACTATGGAGTCCCGTTAGCTCTTGTGCTATATCCAAAATTGATTTCCAGTAAGATCTTATCATCTGGCACGACCACCAGATATGTATCATCGTCCCATTTTCTACAAAACACCTCCAGCACAGCTTGGAATTTTTAGAGTTCATCTTATATAGATTATATGGACATCTATACCATCTTGTTAGTACTTTAAAGTTTCTTTCCTGTGTTAGAGTAGAAATACTTGATTTGAAAGTTAGGGAGAAGATCCTCCTCCACTCCTCCTCTGTAAGTGCATGACCTAGTTCTCCTTCTTTGGGAGGACGTCCATTTTAAATATGGACATCCTCCCAAGCCAAGAATGTTGTTTGCCTCGGCAATATGTTTTTGTGTGTAATAACTTTTGTTTACTTCATGATCTTTAAATAATTTTCATCACTAACAACATACATATTGTTTTATTTTACTTAAATATGCATTAGGCCACTAGGTGGAGACATGGAATTAAACACAATATATAGAACACTCCTTTAGAACATTTCCATTAATGTTAATGTTGACACTTATGAGGTGATGTAACAAATAATGTTTGCCTCACTTCTAAAACCTTTCTTAGTAGGTTACATGATGCACAGGGTTATACAAAACCACATTCTTGCAACTGTATTTACAGCTAGGGATTGATCCGATTTACCATAACTATGTTTACTGTATTGAATCTTTCATATTAGCAATATTTTACTTTACATTAGAAAATCTCCACACACAAAAAGTAGCATGAAAAGCATTAGAAGATACACAAAATTCTACCTGAATTATTAGCCATCAGCCAACAAGTATGTTTAATGCATTTAGTTTGTGAGGAGTTGTGGGAATGTGATATTTTTAATTTTCCTTGTATTTTGTGACATTCACATATTACCATGTACACCCACATAGTATAGACTGTATGGCTGCTTCTGCTTGCAAAACAGGAAAAAATATTTTGTGTATGTATGTGTATTTTTGCCTGTTTTACATGAATTAATATTATTATTTGTTTATTCATATACATACACGTGTCTTTAACGGATATAAACATGGATGAATACATCTACATTGATTAATGGTATAAATAGAGGGTTATTTAGTTCAGCACTTTTTCACTGCCGCTTACTCTGTAATGAGGATTTATATGAAGGTGCATTCAGGGAGTTGGATTTATTATTATATAGGATGATGTTTTGTGCCTTTATTATTATATAGGATGATGTTTTGTGCCTTTAAGGGATGAAAATGCTGTCTTTGTTTTTTATCTACATATGAATTTCAACCCTTTTGATTCACTGATATTAATACACATTTTTGTAGGGGGAAGATAGTGCAGTGTTTTTTAGTTAATTAATTTTCAGATGAGAGGATTTGGGTCTTCTGATTTATTCACTGCTGTCATTTGGTCTATCGAGGAAACACAGAGGAGATAGCGCGGCGTTTTTAAAGGTTTTTGTACTCTAAAAACTAAGACCAAGGACAGGGACTCATATACACACATGCACACACAACACACAAACACAAAGGTTGAACTTGATGGACCTGTGTCTTTATTCAACCTCAAATACTATGTAACTATGTAAATCACATTTGCAAGGATAAAATTTAACTCCAGGGTTTCAGAGTAGAGTTGCTGCTACTTTGAACTGAGGTGCTCGTTGGGATGATTTTGGCATGTCATGCAAGTGCTTCCATTAAGAATCTCAATTTAGGGCACCACAACAGACCCAAAACATACTGGTAAGATTAATTTTGCTAAATCGTTTGCCAACTACATAAAATGCCCCAGGAAGTTGGAGTGCACTGCTGAGCTAAGGGAAGCATGAGGTGCCCATCTTAGCTTGTTTCTATCTCCGGATTAGGCAACTGGAAAATGGATGCATGTATTTACCATAGCTTTGTTCTAACATGCTAAAGAAGTACCATTCATTTAAGAGACACTGTAGAGCCATCCATCACATTTACATCTGGTAGACCTTACAAGAAGAAAAGGTAATGCAAATAATAAAAAATGTATTTGGATATAGTATGATCCGCATGCGTGAGAGCATTAAATTATTTCTTTATTATGACTTGGTCAACTTAAGGCTCTAGAACTGAAGTTTAAACTAGTTATGCTGGAACTTTCAATAAGAATACATTTGTGTTCTTCTTTTTTTCTGTTTCAGTGCTGATCCACTATGTATAATACTTTCAAAGAAAAGACAAGACTTTATTTTGAAAGCTTTTTACTGTTACAATAGTTTGATTGTTTTATATGTTGAGAATAGAAAACATTACTGGGAGAACTCACTCTAAACAAATCTTTATTTTCTTGTAGGAGGATGACAGTGACTGCGGTGGAGTATCTGGCTTGACTCCTTCACTATGGTCCATGATAGGCATTCAATTTGTCCTGCTCTGGCTTTTATCTGGTAGCAAGCATTGTCAGTTATGACCCTGAAAACCAAAATATGAATTACTAATGTCAACATCCTGCCAAAAGATTTACCCTGGATTTACCTTAAACAAGGTCACTTGAAATGAAGACCTTGGAAGAATGGCTGTGTTCATGCTGTAACTATCAATGTGGGAGAGATTCACAAAGGCATCTACAAAGTCTGCATGTTGGAGTGTCAAATCCTTAATGGTAAATTCTGAGAATGCTGCATCATCTATGCCATCAGAACAGAAATCTACAGTCAATGTGCTTTATTGAACAATCTAAGATGATCTTTGTTGCATCGTCAATGACTATATGTAAAAGGGCTCCCTTTAATATTGCTTCTGTACAACATAATTTGTAGAATTTCTTTTTTGAATTTCAGTTTGTTGCACTCCCAGCCCTTTATGCATCCACTTGTGTACATCAGATCTATTTTATTATTGTGCACTGTGTTTAGAAAAAAACTACTGCTTTTAATATATAAATGTATGTAAAAAAAAAACTAAAATGCTCCTGTTTAGTCAAGTATGAATATTGGTTAGTCATCAAAAAAAATATAAAAATACTGAAATGCCTTATAATGTATATTGAATGGCTTCATGTGCCATTAAAATGGGAGTAAAAAAATGTGAAGAAAGAAAAATCTAATGGTCTTATGGGCATAGAAAGTAAGTATATAGTGTATATTATTTGCATACACATTTTCATGGGTATATGAGAGTATGAACTTTGTGACTCTCTAAGTGATGTGTAAATCTTTACAACTATAGTTTTGTACATGTAATTCTGTATATCAATGCTAACCAAATCCTTTTCAAAACTCAGAGATTTTAATTCAAAAATATTTTGGTTAGGAATCTTACCAATGGTATTTAGCATGTCAATGCTGCTGCTATTTTTTTCTGTTCTGTTAGACTGAATTGGTTAGGATGAGTTTTGTAGTCTATATGCTTTTACTTTGAGTGATTGTTTTGTTGTGTGACCGCTCTCTGCAGTGTGTTGCTAATCAATCTGCTTTCATTAAATATAGAGTATACTAAGCGTATTAGGGTACTGTGCAATGGAGTAAAAATAGTATAAATGAATGTATTTTAAAGGTATCATTGTATTGTATGATATCATAGACATTGATTTATTCTATATATTAAACATAGTAAACACATAAGGAAATATACAAACATTGGGTTTGTAAGAACAAATGGTGTATGCACCTTGTAGTGGGTGGGTGGTAATGAGAAAGAAAATGTGTTTCTTGCTTGTTCAGACATATTATTAGGAAATTCTTAGCAGCACCAAGATTATGCATCATATGTGTGTATTGGTTGACATCAGTGGGAAATGCCATTGCATGGTACCGTTGTGCAGTGTGCTTGAAACATGAAAAAAGAGAGGGGTTCTTAGTCACCAGGACAGGTACCAAATCATTGGGCATCTGGTGTTTTTTGGACTTTTTTTCTAAACAATAAAGTAGTTATGAACCATATTTTAATAAAATTATTATTAGCACTATACAGTGACTGCATTTATATTTATTTATATTATTGACAATTATATACTAGTTTCTAAAGCACTTGATGTCCCTACTTGTTCGGGGCCAGTGATTTAGACAGTATATAAACCACTGGATCACCTTGACAGCCAACAAGCTAGTATTTTCAGGAGAGGTCAGCAATGATAGCCTCCATATTTTCTCACTACAAGATTCATTTTAAGTGGATATTCAACCAAAACTTTTTTTAGTTTTAGTTGGCTCGGAAAGCAGTAATACTCTATTTTTTTGCTATCTGAGGGTCCATTAAAACGTTTTCCCCTCATTTACTGCTACAGTGAGAATCGTTTTAGCAAATAGGAAGAGAGGTAGAATCTGCAATACAGATACAGACAGGAATAGAAAGCTGTCAGAGGTTCTAACCTTCCTGCAATCTTATTTCTGCCCATTTTGCTGTTGGAGATCTTCCCTCACTTCCTGTCTGGTGAACTACAGGGGTAATCTCTCAAACAAAAATATCCAAAACTAGAAAGAAATGTTTTACTTGAAAATACTCATTACATACATTTTTGGTTGCAACTTGAGCTATGAACTTGAAAACTGATTTATCAATGCAGTCTGAATTGTAGAATACAAACCTTAAGGACGTCTGAAAAAAATAAAATAAAAAAAATAAATAAAAAGGTGATTGTAGGATATTTTATAGGTGGTTTTGCATTTTGAATCAAGTTATTTTGTAATAGTGATTTTTTTTCTGGCAATTGAGAAAAGTTCAATTTTATAAGCTTATGATCATATAATTAGCTAGTCTATAAAAACCTGAAAAATATTTGATTATGGGAAAATCAAATGTAAAGATGATGTTAATAAAAATTATTGGAACCTTAAGCCTTGGCTTTTGGGAACAACAAAATGTCAAATAATATGCTGTTTATAGGGATGCACAGATACTTTTTGAGTACCAGTACAGATACTTGGCATTTTCATGAGAACTACCACGGTTGCAGCTGGGACCTGGCTCTGGCACTCCACCACTGTCCTGAAATCATTAGTCTGTATTGTTTTAGAAAAACTGTCACATGACATAAACAAAAATGTATCAGTACTCGTATTTGTAAGTACTCGGCAAGTACCAGTACTCGTACTCGCAAAACTGGTATCTGTGCATCCCTTTATTTATAGTTCTAAAAACAAAATCGTATATTAAAACAGAGATGTACAAATCCCAGGAGCTCCGTGTGCTCCTTACAAATGACAGCTGCCTCCTAATTTTTGAATTTTTCTCTAGTGTAGTCTTGGAGCTCAAAAGTATCGGTACATGTACTCGTACTTGTACCGAGTACTGTACTTGGTATCTGTGCAACCCTAGCTGTTTATATTAAGAGTTCTAATTATGCTAAAAAAATGACAGCATATTTTAACCTAACTACGCAATTCATTCCTATTATTCCTATATTTACAATGAAAATGTTTACAATGTCAGATTACTGGAAAATCATCAGTGCAAATTTAAGTATACATCTTTTAATGTTTCAGCATCCTTTTTAAGTAACTCTTTTATTTTGTTTTTGGTTGTCCTTTTATAGCCCTGCAGAAAACCTCCATCAAAAATGCGCATTTTCCTCTTTCAGTTAACAAAAATGGCATTGTACTCTTGTATAACAATATCATCAACAGCACACACAAACATAAGTTCTTAAAGGGTACCTATATGATGTCCAATGTATCTATATACATATTTACTAATATGAAAATGCTATTCCATAGAGTCTGCTTTTAAGTTGGGATACGTTATTTCAGTTTCGCATAATTTAAATATTATAAGATATTTAAAAAATTATATAATATATTGTAAAAAAAATAAACCCCAGACAGCTTATGGATGAATTTGTATTGAGTGTTTTTTATGTATTTAAAATAAAACCTTTACTGGTTTTGGCAACACTCAAAACATATTGCACTATCAATTTTCTTTTGTAAGTGTAAATTCTGCGCACACATCTATCATTGGCGTTTATTGCCTCTTCTATTAAAAAGCTGATATCCATTCATGTGAGGTTTACTTAGCACCTACACACATTGTGGTAATAAGTAACCATAAAAAATACACAACTTAATCTCAGCTTAGTTCCCACACACCAACCTTTTAAACCCAATCCCAATCCTCACTAACGTGTGATGTTTTCATAATATTGCACTTTTAGATCAATATAACATTAACAAAATGTATTCAGTTTACTTGTACATGCTGTTTGTTCTTGCCCTGTTGGTAAGTCTGTGTGGTTTTGATAACTATAGCAAACAAAAGAGTTACTAAGCATTGCAGATTAGCCAAGAAATTACATTTTAACTTCTTCTAATCTATTACATTTAGGTTTTACACCATATAAAGTAGACCTGACCAAGAACAAAAACAGTCTTCCCTGTACCAAAATTGCTCTCTAAGGTAAAGTCTAGTGCTTTGGTTTTATTTCTACAAGCTTGAATGAATACCCCTTTGAGGTTCACTATAGAAATGTCACAGTAAAATGTGTACTATTTTACCTCAAAATGAACTATATGCTCAGTAAGAGAACACGTTCCCTGGACTGTTAAAAACAATTGCTGAAACAAAGTCTATTTTTTCTAAATATAGATGCAGTATCTACTATCTGTATACTATCTGTATATTGTAAAGTGTGATCATCCCCACCCCTCTAAGTAACCAATATTGGTTTTAAAACATAAAAATGAATTAAAATATTTTCAAAGGTGCTACTTGTGACCGGATATGCAACATATTCCTATCCCACTTAAGCTAATAGTATAAGTAGGAATGAGCTTGGGTTTTATACCAAACTTGGTCCAAACCTGAGCTCCTCCAAACCCTGAAGGGACATGGGTCCACTTGCTCAATCAGCTGAGGGCCAGGGCATTTACTGCTTCACAGTTGCACACAACCACAGGGGATGGACACGTGTGCTGATGATATTGTTCTTATATGGCCATATTAATTCAATCTTATTGAACAAATATAGCCTTGTGCAAATCTAAGGTCATAGATGTCATAGCATCCCACCAGGAAATTCCCTGAGCCTCAGCTGATTGGATGGAAGCAGAAGTACATTCCTTCTGGTTTTGGAGGAGCTCCGAAATGCCTATTAGTTTACTAGTACTTGCATGCTGAGGTTTGGAAAAACAATGAATACAATGAACATGAATACAATGAACACATACTTTTACTAATAAGATAATTGTTATTTCTCAAAATGCTACTTATGTGTACATTTGTATTCATCATATTTATGTACAAGATAAAGTATAGTTCTCTCCTACATACATACATTATTTTGACATTACTGTGACCAGCATTTTTAAATAAAGTTCATAAGGGTTGTCTGATTATCATGACCTGCTGAGGCCCATTCACTGAAAAGGGAGAAAAGAAAATAAGTGCAAAGGTGAAGCCTAATTGGTTGTTTTTATTTTTATTTGCATTTAATGAATCTGCATATTCTTTAAACTCAAATAATGGCTGCCTCATCTGCAAATAGGTGACTGATTGTTCAATATATAATATGTGTGGGTGCACTTTGTAAGAAAGTATATTACTGACGTGGAAGAATCACACAGCAAAAATGTCAAAAGTGTGTCAGTCATTTACGAACAGAAACTAAAAACAAGCTCAGTCATGAAGGGGTTAAAGGACAAGTCTTAGTCTAACATGCTAAGGAGTTCAGTGTGTGGCTTTCACTCAACTTCTGTTTGTTTCTTAATTGTCCTGGCCATGGGCACTATGGGGACCTGTGGCCTGTTTACTCCAGAGGCATCTGGGATTTACCCATATTTCCCAACATTTTCAACATGTTTATAGCAAGGTAAATGAGAAACAGCCTGCAGATTTTTGGATTTGCTTTGACCAGATTATTCAAGTCTGTGATCAGGAACATTAAATATGCAGATTGCATAGTTCCCTCAGCTGTACCTA